TTCACACTAGTATTGTTTCATCATAAAGCTGTGGACGAATGTGATAGAACAGCTTTGCTTGGAACAGTTTGTGTGTGGGCAGATTAGGAACTCATACAGAATCAGGAAGGAACAGAGAGAAGTCAGTTGAACTGGTTTGTAACAGAGGATTGCATTTATAGTGTCTAAAATTTCCTCCTTTGGAAATCTTTGTGATAACGCTTTGATTCAGTGGAAAGTCTCCCTCTCACTGTTTTAGAAATCAGTTTCTATCAGTTTTCATTTAAACAATCTTGTATTCTGCTTGTAGCTGATAAATTGCTTTGAGTTGCTTTAACAGAGGTATTTGCAGAAATCTGAATGAGTATCACACTAATTGTCTTTAATGATAGATGGAGTGTAAATTAATGCTTCAAAATGTTAGAAATGTGTCAACAAGAAATACGTAGGAAAGTACAAAAAGAGTGCTATAGCTATTGACAAGTTGTGCAGAAATATTTAGCAGCACTTAAATTATAAGAATGATTACATTTATTTGAGTTACACTGGTCACTGCAAAACCAAATGGTTGTTTTTTAGATTTCCTTTTATTTATTAGGAAGGAGCATAACTGAGATTGAAAATAGAATAGCAACACTGAATAGTGGGGTTAAGAATTAGAGGCCTAGGTGCACAAGCAATTTTGTTTATAAAGCGTTGTTGTCTTCTGCTCTAATCACTACCTTTTGTGGCCTGTAGGCATCCCAGTAATGCAGAATAATAATCACAAGTTGGGCTAAATCTGCTCTGAGACTTGTTTTCTGTGTACTCACCTGTTTGCATTTTGCGGATGGAAGACAATGTTTACCCTGCAGTTTATGTGTACTCCTTCCTACCTCAGATGCTGTTTGTTGCACAGACTGACTTGCTGGCTTGTTCTGGCTATGGAATATTAGATGTTTACATGTGTAAAAAGCGCCCCATTATAGTACTCTTAGTACTTATTTCATTACTTATTTCCAAGAGCCAGTCAACTGTTTTTATTGGCCATATTCTGCAGGTAACAGGATATGTGAAATGAATTTAAGAGTTAGGTAATCTCTCTTAATATGTAACTTGTTTCTGAATAAGAATAAAAAATGCACAGCAGTTGAAGCAACTACAGATAACATTATTAAAATTCAGAACTTGCTTCTTTACACATGCAAATGTTTCTTCCTGACATAAGTTCTTACCTGAGGTTATTGGTGATTTACCATCTTAGCTGTCATTTCCATTTAATCTTTCAGTCTGATATTATACCTGTTTAGCGAGTGGAGTGGTTGTTTACTTGTTTTAAATAAATAAAAATTCCTTGTGCCTTTTCCACAGTGAAGGAATCAGTCATTCTGGTCTAATGTGAGGCAAAAAGAAGCTAAAGACGCCAAAATACTACAGAAAAACAGAGTCAGCAGCAGTGAAAGAATAGTTTTTGTGATATATGGCTTGGCTGTATTGTGCTTCTAGAAAGGCACAGCTCTGTGACTGCAGTAATTTACCATTTTTTCAATTAGTTATTTTTTCACTACTAAGATTTTTAACTGAAAACATTTATACAAAGCAGAAGACATCTTAGAACATATTTTTCAGTCAAAAATCAATTTTAAATATAAAATATATAGCACTATTTTATTTTCAGGGAGTAGTAAATGTTCCTGTATTTTTCATTTGTATTAAGTAACTTGAATCACTGTACAAACTCTTACTAATACTTTTAAACCTTCTTGATTGAGTTTAAACTGGCTTAAACAAAGTGATAGGCTATCTAATCTAGGGGGGTTGGAGATTCATGATCCTTGAGGTCCCTTCCAACCCTGGCCATTCTGTGATTCTGTGATGTTGTAGTCTTGTTTTTTTTAGTGGAAAGTGGTTCATTACAAAGCAATGTAGACTATGAACTTGGCAACTTTCTGAAACTACAGAGCATGTAGGAATGTCAAAGCTTATGATTTTAGGCTGTCAGTTTATGCACATATGGGAATTAAGAGGAAATCTTTCATTGAGCGCATTCAACAAGTGTGGCAGCTTTTATTTGTTTGAATACAGTTAGAGTAGCAGCAGAATATTCACTCAGGAAGTCAAAATCCCTTTCTTTGATCAGAAATAATGGTAACAGTGATTTTTCCAGATAGAACCCAGCAGTTTGTGAGTTAAGTTTTTTTCATTTTATGATGCATCCTGCATAAAATGTCTAATTAAATTGTGGATTTCATGCAGTATTTGATATTCTGTCAGTTCTGAAGGGGACCAGGCATGCTGAATACTCTTTTTGGCAGGAAGACGATGAAGAAAGTTGTAATTGCTAACACAGTGTGTAACTACATAGCTTGCCTCTGATCTTCTGATGCTTTAAGCTGCCTTAAAGGTCGTCTTAAAATTTTACCTCTCCAATAACTCTTCTCAATGCCAGTGTTCCCAAACAAGTAATTTTAATCTATATCTTCTCAGTGTAGTGTCATTTATTTTCTCTGTCACTTTCCTTAGAACAACAAAAAACACTGTTCTGTGTGTAAAGCACAAGGTATGTAGTGCTGTGTAGGCAGTGTAGAAGATTTTCGGTTGCAGTAATTCTAGCTTCCTACAAGGTGTATTATCAAAATTGAATATTTCCTTTAACAAAACAAACAAACAAACAAAAAACAACAAAAAAAAATTGTTACTGAATTATGGATGTGATCAGTGTAAAATACACCCAAAATTTTGGAGCAGGTAATTTATCTTAACATGCTCTATACTTAAGGGCATTTCCCTTCTAGATCATTAGCAATTACTGATCTGTTCATCTGTAGTAACCTGCAGATGCATCCAGCATCTTTTGAAAAGCTCACTGATATATTGGTGCTATGCTGTGAAATACAGTAAGTGCTGTATTCTGTCGAAGCTATAAAAGTGATAATAGGAAAAATAACAATGTGTGGTGTATAAAATTGTTGACAGTTAGGCAGTGATGTCTGTGGGTTAGATTACAGATAGCAGTGTTTTGTGTGATGGATTAAACGGATATTGGACAAAAAGTTACCTTATGTAAGAACTTGCTCATGTTGACAGTTTTTTCATATGTTGTTACAGTAAATATGGGAGTAGTAGAAGGCTGTAGACATGTTGGGTTTATATTGCTAGCTACTACACTTCAATGGAGGTGACAGATTTTTATTTCTAAGATGACTGATGCTGTTATATGACTAAGGTGCTTAGAAAATTTATCTTACAAACACTCTAGATTGTAGGATGGGACTTTTGACTCTTTGAACACAAAAAGCATCTGTTGTATTGCAGGGAAGAAATATAAGCACGATAGGGAAATATTCTTCCTGTCGAATTATGTGTGAGCTGTAGTCTTTGTTTAAACAATTAATGTGCTGTTACTTCTATCATTTTAATATTGATGAAGACCAGTGGTTTTTGTTTACATTACCACATCTGCATTGGTCAATGCTTAAAAATATGAAATTGAATTCATTTTCTGTAATGTTTTGTGATGCCCCAACTGCTGTGGGCATTGCTTTGCAGCAATCAGCATCTATGTGCAAGACCTGCTGGAAAATACCTTTTGGACTTTTCCCTCATGTTGTAATACAGCATTAGATTATTATAACTAGGAAAAAGATGCTAAAGAATAAGAAAAAGGAATAAGCACCTGGGAAACTCTTAGCTCAAAAGTCTACAGATTGTAACCGCTTTACTTGGTGCCACCTTCTTGTACTTATTTCCATCTCTGTTATTTCGGATGGTAAGCACTTGGGAGTTGTGATTAGACTTCTGTAAATATATATTTTTTAATTGAAAAATGATAAAAAATACTTTTGGCAATAATGTCATAGTGTTTTGTTGTTGTTGTGTTTTCTAATTTTTTGGAGGTACACTTCAGTGTTTCTGGATGTGGGCCCAGGCACCCTGCACTGAGTGTCCATGCTGGAGCTTTGGGCCAGATGGACCCAGAGGTCCATCAGTCTCAGCCATCCTGTGATGCTGTGAATATGCTGTGTGAGAGTTCGTTTCTTGAGTGTGTATCTGTCTGAGGTGAATCCTGTTGGCTGTGTGCCCGCCGTCACTTTTCAAATGTTCAGACATTTCATTAGTGCTGTTTATATCTGTGCTTTGCTACCCTGAGGACAGAGAATTGACTCTCCATCTGATCAGTCTTGATAAGGAAAACTGGGAAAAAAGCATTTCTCCATTTATGGAGACTGTTAACAAGAAGCAAGATGTACCTTTGGTTTCATTTGGTATCTTTTATCTCATGGGATTATTTTAAAATAGTGGTTTTTTATGTTGAGTTTGTGATTTGTTTATATATAAGTAATCATTTTTGGACAGGAACAACTTTTTTGAGTGATAGGAAACTAAATTTGGAAGGAGACACTGGTTTGCATTGTTCTTTCCCTTCCTGATGGTATGTGATGGAAGTACAGCTTACTGGAGCCCAGTCACCTGGGACGCTGGCCACATCTTTTCTGTTTCTTGGGGCTGAAATAGCTAGAATTTTTGAACAAATGTGGTATAAAAAAATCACTTATCTTGAGCTGTAAAGGTACTTGTTTGCTATTCGAAGTGCTTAATGTATTTCTAAAAGGAAATTGCAGGAAGGTACTGGATATTTATTGCAGTATTGATTTGACTTGGCAAATATGCCGATCTCTTTAAGTTTGTGTTCACTGCTTATTTACTTAAATGAAGATTACTTCTGTGCTCAAGCAGATCCTACTCCCATAACGGAAATTATGGATTAAAAAAAACAAAAAAACAAAAAACAAAAAAAACCCCACACATTTCCATGCATATAAATGATTTTCACAGTTTTGAGTGTTAATGTACTTAAAATTGTTAACAAACTAATTCCCCTGCACTTCATCATGAATGTAATTCAAGAAGAAAAAAAGCCAGGCATTGCTTCTTCTGCAGCCTCTCATTCAACGATGTCTTATCTCTGTCTCTGATAGTGTCACCATATATTTGCATGGTCTTTAAATTGTTGTTTTTTGCTAATTTTGTTATTAAAACAGGCAACAACAGAGAGACCTTTTATACAAAAGCTGTTTCGACCAATTGCTTCTGGAGGACAATTGCACACTCTGGGAGATCTTCTAAAAGATGTGTGTCCTAGTGCTATCACCCCTGAAGGTACTGTAAAAATAACTTTTATCCAATAAAATTATGTATCATTATGTATTTATGTAGTATATGAAAATAATAAGCAAATAAAAAATAAATTCTTTTAATGGGATTTTTTTTTTGGAGGCAGAATTCTGTTTCAGTATCAGAGTTGAAGATTTCAGTTTTCCTTGGCCAATCAGAGTGCCCACTATATATCACCTGCAGTGTTTGGAGAGGATAAAAGTGAGTCCTTTGGCACTCCTGAAAAATTTATCCCAGGAAATTTTAATTTAAATCTCACCTATGCCTTAGCCATCGTGCTGCTCTTAATAAAAGCATTCATATTTTATCTTCTACAATTTTAACAAATATTCTTAAAGTAAAATCAACAGAAGTTTTAAGTTTGTTTAATTTTGTATTACATTTTCGTACATCAAACTCGAAAATGGATTATAATTTAAGGCTTTTTTCATGTTGAAATCTGACCTTTAAAAGCACACCAGAAAATAAGAGATTTATGCATGGTTACTAACAATTCTTGTGTGACTGGATACCAGTTATATTGTGTAGCATCATATAATTTCATGCAATAGCATTTGTTAATTAGCACTTATAAACATTTTTGGATTCTGTATTAGCCCAGAGATTACAACTGTTGGAACTCTTACTTTTAGATGGGGTAAACGGGAAAGTTATGTACTCTGCAAAGTGACATAAAATTGTCTAATGTGAAATGTTTTCCATCTTGTTCTTACTCTTGTCTCTTATCAGTCCCTATAAAAGAGGTGATTGCTGTTTGGTTTTTTTTCAGTCAATAAATCACAATCAATTTTGAGAAATTTATGATAGTTTAGAAAAGATTGTGACACAATTTACTGGTGCAGTATTAGCATCTTTTTACAGTAGAACACTAAACTTGATATCAGTGTAAAAATTTATGAAATGTCATGGATTTGAGTAAGAAACAATAAGTTGACGTTAGAAATTGTCTGACATCAAACTGTTTTTAACTCCTTTTTAACACTTGTTAACACGTGAGCAATCATTTCCATAAAGAACAAAAGAAAAACATGGCATGTTGCTACTCATGTGCCACTTTTTCTTAAAGCAGTTCTAAATTTCAGAGCATAATTTTAGGGAATGATATTATCTAACTGTCCAAAAGATATAAACAATATGCAAATGGATGCTTGAATGTGGGCACAAGCAATTTTAGCCATCTTCAAGTACTTGAGTTTCAAGATCCTAGAAACAGTAGTGAAAACAAACAAACAAAGGAAATTTTAAAAATATGGATAAGAAATATGTATATTAATTTTGAAGAGAGGAGCATAAATTAAATGAAAAAAAAACCTCAAAAGCATTTATACAGAAGTTATTTCAGAATATAAAGGATGCTTAATGTAATTTAATTTTGAGAGTACCAGTTACTTGACACTTCCCATTATTTTTTTTTTTTTCAGAAGTTGACAAATGCACCAGCCTTTAATAGCAGGATAGAAATTTGCTATAGCAGTTGCTTGTTTCATTTTTGTTTACAGGCTAAAATAAAAAACTGTGCTGTTTACTCAGTGGAGGTAGAAAAATGGTAATTACTTGATAGAAAAGGAACTAAGAGAGTTACTGTTTCTGCACTTAAGAGGAAAAGAAGGTTGAAATTTGGCAGAAGGATTTCTTTTTATTGTAGTATACCTACCTTTTTGTGTATAAATCTGTTGAGATTTGGCCTACCTTTGATCCTTAAGATTCTACTGAGAAACCTGCAAACTGAAGAGTTTGCTAACTTGATTCTTCATTTAGATATGAGCTATCTGGGATTCTTTTCCTGCAGTGCAGTTTCTTATTACTTGATTGTTACTCTTATGCTCTGGCCGTTCTCCTCATCTATTAGGTAGCAGAAAGCTGTCTAAGCTAAATGCAGAAAATAACATGAACTCTTTGGGAGATGTGGATATAGACTGGTACAAAGAGCCTGAGGAGGGAGAGAGAGACTGACTGAACAAGTAGTTGGGAAAACAATGACAGATCATCAAACGTGGTGGGGAGAGTGACTATGAATAATGCAGTAGGATAAAAGAGAATGGGCAAAAGACAAAAAGTGACATAACTGAACACCTGGGGAGAGTAATTAGGATGTGAGATGATAAAAGAATGAGGGAGGAAGAGAAGTGTCTTTCAAGTAGATTGTGTGCTGAGATTATATAAGGTATCCAGATTAGGACTGGAGATCTTGCTGGTAAAGTGATTCAGGTGGTCTAGAGACCTGTTCGGAGAAACAAATTGAATTAAAAATTGAGAAGTCTCTAGTGCTCTAATGGGAAGATGAAGGCAGTCACAGAGATAGAGGCACTTAGACACTGAACTGTGGAACTAGGGCAAAATGGAGGGATGATTGAGAAGGGTCATTTTCCATAATATGGAAATATCCATAGATGGATACCCCGTGACAACAGTGATTCTTACTGCTGAGGGACATGCATGGGGAAGGTCTGTGAACAGAAGAGGTATGAACAGTAGCACTGCTTTAGGTTTGACTGCTTCAGTTCATCATACACTGTTCGCTGGAGGTTCAGCTTAGCCAATAAGTGAGGGATGGGACCTAAGATAATCAGCCATCTACTTGTCTTAGATCACTGGGAAAATGTAGCTGGGTGAGGTGAAAAGGGAGGGAAAGAACAGAAGATGCTGGTTGATCTGAGTGATTGTTTTTGTGCAGTCAGCAGCTACCTTTTCCCACATGTGCTTCAATTCAGTCTGATCTGTCTCTCCCTGACTGAACTGAGTAGTTTCTGACCACTTTGCTGGTAAATGAGAATTTGCAAACATTTTTAGAAATCTGGGATGCAATGTGCAAATGTTTTCCTTCAAATGTAGTTATATTCATTTGAGGTTGAATAGTTGAAATTTAGAAGGTGTTGGAATTGTAGATCGCCTATGCAGTCTTAGTTTCTGTACACATGCACACTGATCATTTTACTGCTTATAGTTTTATCCCACCATCTCTCCCTCTTTTTATTCTCTGAGATTTGTGTCTTCCTTGATAGGCAAGGCACATCTTATGGTCTGTGTAGTGAAAGATCATTTTCTGGATTGTTGAAATGAAAGATGGCAAATGTCCTTCAGGAAGCGTTATGATTAAGGCAGCTGATTATTGCTCTTTGGAATGGTATTAATTTCTTTCTCCACTAACAAATTCATTATTATGGGATACTGGGCAGGCTGAATAGTATGAAACAACCGATTTTAAAGATGGGAGCACCAGAGAATTCTGGTGAAATTGTGTTCTGCTGAAAAGCATGATTATTTGTACTTAAAATCAGTGAGGTCTCAGTTAGGCTTTAAATGTACAAATGCTAGGAACTCTGTAGTAAAGTTTTAGGCCTCTCAATACTCTTCTTCTCTTTCACCTTCCAAAAGATGGATATTTCTGGCCAAAATGTATTTTTTTTTACTTCAGTACATCTCTTTCCACAGGAAAATCTTGATGAATCTTTTCTGAAGGGAAAACAACCTGTCTGTAAGACTGCTTAAACTTAATGATTTAAAAATTGTCCTCGGACCTTTTTTGATACTTTCTAATTTTTGTGTTTTTAAATGTTGTCTTAATTTATAATTTACATTTACTCTGAGGCATTGAAGTAATGTTAGAAAATAAATGTCAAATGTATATTAGAAAATGATGGCAAACTTTTTTCCAAATCTCAGTAAGTATTACCAAAGTTTTAAATCCACTTGTTTCATGAGCAAAGAAAATATACTAGTAGCTAATCAAAGGCATGCTTGAAGACACACTAGATATTGGTGAAGTAGTTTTTTCTTATTTCCAGAAAATAATTTGGATAATTATTTAAGGCTGCTTTTTAACCCTCTTCTTTTGTGAGTTAATGTGTTGGTGACATTTGCTACATCTTTCTGTTAATGCAGTACGGTCAGTATGAGCTTATATTTCTTTCAATTTTCTTTCATCTGTTGTACTTTTTTCTTTTCTTTTTCCTGAATGGCCTTGTCTTTTCAGCTGGAAGCTTCATGGTAATTTCTGTCTATGGTGACATCCATAACAGAGCTTCATGCCGTGGGAACACGGAAGATATAAGATTTTCAAACACAGCATTTGTAGTTCTATATGTGAGCTGTTCCTGCTGCCAGACACTTAATGACCACCACAAGAAGAGGGAGGGAAATGTTTCAAGAGCCACCCACGGTGTCTATATGCCTTTTCTTTAGGAAATATGGATGTAATTAAGACTCTCTTTTAACTGCGCTGAGAAAATATTTCAATGAAAATAATTTCTATATACATGGATTTAATACATACACTGATTATCAACTGTTGAAAAAAACAATGTTAAGAATGTTGTCAGGAGTAGAAAACATTACACAGTGACATTAAAACACATGTAATTAAAATGTTCTTGTAAAATACCAAATCGATATTACTGTGCATAATTGTTTATTAGCGTGCTTTATTTAAATTAAGAAGCTGTTTATTCAAGGCATTTATCATATGTTGAGATTGTCTATAGTGTAAAAACATGAGGAATTATTAGCCCCAGCATATACTTGCCTGCTTCTCCTCAAGCTGGTCCGTTATTCAGTAACATGTATATTATCCCGCTCAGTGAATGCTGTACAGTACAAAACTGTCTGAGTTGCTGAATAGTTTCGTCTCTGTCACAGAGAGCATAGCAGTTTGTAGCCCATTTGTCAAAACACTGTCAAGCAACTACTACCTTACTAATGATGATGAGAAAGTGGGAAGAAAAGCAGTAGTTTGAAATAGAACAAGCACCAAAAAGCCATTGAATTTCTCAAACTTTTGGAATTAGCATTAATCATGTTGGTCGTATTTACCTGCAGATCAGACTTGAAAAATCTGTGCTTCTCTAGGTAACATACAAAGGTACTTGCTATTCATACACTACTATTTCTGACTTCCTTGAATTGTTAGCAATCCCAACTGGATGGTGGACGTTTTAACTTCATTAAATCTTTTGAGATGAATCTTTGAGATTTACTAGCACATTAAG